AGATCCCCTGGAGAAGAAAACGGCAACCCAATCCAGTATTCTTGCCTGGAAAATTCTATGGACAAAGGAGCCTCCCAGGCTATACGGTCCATGGGGTCATAAAGAATTGGACACTGCTAAGTATACACACACACGGTGCCAAGCATTTTCCCTGTGATACTCCACTGATCTTCAATTCTGAGGGATATTACCACATCCTCATAAAATGTTTTTATGAGGATGCACAGATTCACAGATTAGTAAAACATACAAGGTCATCAGGGAGTTTGCATGCAGGGTGGAACAGAGACAAAAATAACAAGTTCAGGTGTTACTAGGAAAAAGGGCACAGGGATAGAGACGGTAGTGGGGGAAGCAGAGAGAGGTGACTTTAAATATGGTGGAGATTAAGGTTTTTAGACCCATGTTTTGAAGACAGAACTGGGGACAACTTTACTTCAAAGACTTCTGGTGACCATTTGTCAAGCAGGAAAAAATCCCAGGAAGAAAGCCTCTCTAGCATGCACACCACTAATGATCAGCCACAGTCCTCAAAGCTGAGGCACAAGGGAGGGTGAAATTACCAGCAGGGAAGTAGGCAAGGACTGAAAAGATGAAATAATTACTCAAACCCAACTCTAATCTCAGGGGAGAAATCTGCAGTGGGAATGTTGACAGAACTAGGTATTTTTTCAAGAGATACTTATAACACTCGTGACAACAGGTGAAACATGATGGAATTTAAAGACTGAGAGGAAATAAAAAAATTTTGAAATCTGTCAACCAATCCGCAATGTTCTCTACTATGTTAGGATTACAGTCATTGGCCACACTCTGAAGTTCTAATTTTACAAAGTATATTCCTCTGCCTCTAATAGGCCCATTTTAATAATTTAATCTTCCTATCTGTCTCATGGATAAAATAAGAAAGAGATAATGTCAGAAATTAACATTCATTTAACCTAGGCATTTCAGATACATGATATTATGCAATGGCTCCTTTTATCTAAACCATGTTTCTCAACTCCCAATATTAATAATATAGGGATGCACTGAACACTGAAAGAAAACTAGGAATCTGGGATAACAGCATCTCCTGATTTCAACTTTATTTCTTTAAATGAGAAAGAATAAATGGCAATTCAAGTATATAATGTTGTAGAATATACTCATTTGACATCAGTAAGCAACTACGTGGATCATAACAAACTGTGGAAAACTCTTCAAGAGACGGGAATACCAGACCATCTTGCTGGTCTCCTAAGAAACCTGTACGCGGGTCAAGAAGCAACAGTTAGAACTTTATATGGAACAGCTCACTGGTTCAAAATTGAGAAAGGAGTACAAGGCTGTTTATTGTCACCTTGTTTATTTAACTTATGAGGCAGAGCACATCATGCAAAATGCCAGGCTGGATGAGTTACAAGCTGGACTCAAGATTGCCAGGAGAAGTATCAACAATCTCAGATATGCAGATGATAACACGTATTGCAGAAAGCAAAGAGGAACTATAAACAGCCTCTTGATGAAGGTGAAAAGCTGGCTCAAAACTTAGTATTTGAATCAGTTCTAATGAGATGGATGAAACTGGAGCCCACTATACAGAGCGAAGTAAGCCAGAAAGATAAAGACCATTACAGTATACTAACACATATATATGGACTTTAGAAAGATGGTAATGATAACCCTATATGCAAAACAGAAAAAGAGACTCAGATGTATAGAACAGACTTGTGGACTCTGGGAGAAGGCGAGGGTGGGATGTTTCAAGAGAACAGCATTGAAACATGTATATTATCTAGGGTGAAACAGATCACCAGCCCCGGTTGGGTACATGAGACAAGTGCTCGGGCCTGGTGCACTGGGAAGACCCAGAGGGATCGGGTGGAGAGGGAGGTGGGAGGGGGGACTGGGATGGGGAATACATGTAAATCCATGGCTAATTCATTTCAATGTATAACAAAAACTACTGTAATGATGTAAAGTAATTAGCCTCCAACTAATAAAAATAAAGGGAAAAAAAAAAAGAAAAAAAATTTTTTTCTTCAAAAAAAACAACAAACTTAGTATTAAACTAAGATCACAGAATCTGGTTCCATCACTTCATGGCAAATAGAAGGAGAAAAGGTGGAAGCAGTGACATCTAAAATCACTGTGGATGGTGATTGCAGCCATGAAATTAGAAGATGCTTGCTTCTTGGCAGGAAAGCTATGACACACCTAGACAGTGTATTAAAAAACAAAGACATCACTTTGCCGACAAAGGTCCATGTAGTCAAGGCTATGATCTTTCCAGTAGTCCTGTACAGATGTCACAGCTGGGCCATAAAGAAGGCAGAGCACCAACAAATTGATGCTTTCAAATTGTGGTGCTGGAGAAGACTCTTGAGAGAGTCCCCTGGACAGCAAGGAGATCAAACCAGTCAATCCAAAGGAGAATCAACGATGAATACTTGGAAGGACTGATGCTGAAGCTCCATTACTTTGGTCACCTGATGCAAAGAGCCGACACATTGGAAAAGACCCTGATGCTGAGAAAGACTGAGGGCAGAAAAAAGGGGAGGCAGAGAGTGAGATGGTTGGATGGCATCACCAATTTAATGGATATGAACTTGGGCAAACTCCAAGAGACGGCAAGGGACACGGAAGCATAGTGTGCTGCAGTCCATGGGGTCACAGAGTCGGACACGACTTACCAAATGAACAACAAAAACCAACTCTGTTTCACTTCTTTTACTGGCCTTTTCATAGTTTCTATTTAAGCTGCCAAATATGTTCCCATAAGCTCACCAGTGGACCTTTCATTCTAGGCCCCAAGACTGCAAATTGCCTCCCACACTGGGAGGTATCTCCAAGACTGATCTTCCACAGGGCTTACTGCCATTAACTAACACTGGTCTTTTCTGCTAACACACTGTCTCTATGGGCCTTTATGCACCAACTCAAACTTTCTAAAATCAGTGTCAGAGCTGAAAAGAAGCTCAGAAGACATCTCATCCAGTCTCCCCCTGACTGAACACACAGAGGTCCCAAAAGAGCCAGAGGAGAGGTCATACTGTGAATTACCTGCAAAGTCAGGGCCAAGGACTAATCCTCCATATAAGGGGCCAGGGGAGTTAGGTTTAGCAGGTGCCAGACACTTGATATTTACTCTCATTCAATCCCAAAGAAGCAGTGGCTCCATTTTGTGGATGATGAAACAGATCCAGAAGTAACATACCTGCCAAGTAGCCAGGTATGTAACAAGGGCAGGAATGAAACCAATCCTGTTTAGCAACATCATGCTCTCTTCATTGTATCTCTATGTTAAAAATTCCCAGACTTCAGTGCTCCTCCACCAACCTTAATCCATCCCGCATCACACTGCCATCAACCCAGTGTTAAATTCAAAGCACATGAGAACTAAGGAATCTAAAACACACGGTGTCGGCAGGAGAAGCATACTGCTCAGGCTGCAGGGACATTTCATTTGTTTAAATGTTTTTTATTTAAAAAAAAAAAAAATTAAAGACCTTCATGGCACAACTTCTTCCCAGCACAATTTATGTTTTTGTTATACCAATTACAATACAATTACAACCAATAAATCATTGAGGTGGGGAGGGTAAACTTATGACTTCAAACTTAAAAGTGGGGGGAGGAGCACTTCAATGTTAAAAAAAATACTAAAAAAAAAAAAAACACCTTTCAGAGTAACTGCCAACACATCTGAGACTGGCATTCCAAATCCTGCCATCTAATCAATGCAGACAGGCAGTGCTGAGAAATGCAGTGTCCCAGTACAAGGTATGCAGATGAGGTAACTTACAGCAACACAGAAGTTGTTACTCTGTAAACCCTTGTCCCTCCCACCCACCCAACTGGGTCTTTTTTAAATTTTTCATGCTTCTGCAGTAACTCCTTAAGTAGCATTTTTAAAACTTCTATTTCTTTTAAAAGGCTCTTGGGTAGCATTTCAGAGTCCTCTGCATTCACCTTCAGCTTCCTTCAAGGTCTGATGCATGTTAGGAGGTCCAGCTATTTGCAGCTTCCCACATTAGCCTCAGCTACACCTAGGTTGTTCTCTGAGCTACAAGGATGTGATGTAAAATCTTGATTTACAACCCTCCTCCCCACCTCAGAAGAAAGAATTCATTAGTCCTCTTCAAATCATAATCCAGTGCAAATGAAATCACAGACTGCATCTCCGGCACATCTGGTGCTTTGAGCTTCTGCACAGATTCAACATGGTAACCCCCTACAGCATTCTAGGGCAAAAAAGGGTCAAGAACAATAAATATCCACTGTATGTGGCCACAAAGAAGAAAATCACCCTGCCACACAGTCAGAATGTTTTCCCTATGGTGGAGAAACAAAAAAGAAGGCTTTAGCTTTCTCTAAAGTTTACCATTATATTTACTAAAGCCACCACCTTGATAAAGTTACTAGAGCCAAGATGGGTTACAAAGTTAGATAAGTTCATTAAATTCAACTCCTCAAACAATTACGTTTACCTCTGCTGCCCGGGTGAGAAAAATCTGTAAATCCATAAAGGTAGGAGAATGGGGAACTAAGACTTCAGGTCTTAAAATATGTTGGAAGAATTTTTCCTAGTCCCCACAAGCAGCTACTGTAATGGAATAACAGGAGATAATACAGAGCTGATGGTTTTGCTATTGTGCTTAAAAAACTAGGCTTCCTCAGCGAAGCACCTGATAAACTTAGGTGGTTGGATTACAGTGGAAAATCCACTTTACACACACACAAACACACAAAAACTGGCGACTTTTCCCATCCCCAATCCCTGCACTGCTGAGACACAAAATGATTTTATGGCAAAGGATCCTTAATCCCCAGAGACGCTTTGGCTTGTGGTGCTTTTTTAAGGCCTCTCTGCCCTGCCCGGTACCATGGGTTGAACGAGGGGTGTATAAAAATGGGGGCCTTGGGAAGCCTCCATGGTACAGGGCTGCAGGCCCTTCAGATGTGAACGTGAGACACCCACCCAGCGAAACCTTTACACAGGGAACTTAAATCTAACCTTGATAAATAAAACCAAACGTTTATTTACACCAAAGAATTCCAACACTGGATCTTTCACATATGAAGGACAAAGTATTATATATATACACACAGCAAGGGGTGGCAGGGCTGTAACAAGAGAGTTTAGTTTTCCCACAATTACAGGTCTACCATTTCAGTTTCACTGGAGATAGTGGCTCTGCTCCTACCACTCAGATACATTTATAAACCTGAGGGGCAGGTCTTCTCATTGGATGGCGTATGAGGGAAGGGGAAGGTAGGAGGAAATGAAGGTAGAAAGCTGAAAATAAACTTCAGTGGCCACATCTCTCATTAGCTCTTAAAGAGTTGCTAGCATGAAACCTACATAGACAATGTTTTCCTTTTGTAAAAAGCAATAAGTTATGCCCAATAACTAACTGAATTCAAAAGGGCCAAGTCAAAGAAAACTGAAAAAGATTTTACCTTCCCCCTCCTACCAGCTATAGAGCATGTTGGGAGATGAAAGGGCAGAAGACCAAGGTAAGGAGTCTGGGAGGGATGATATTAAAGTTTTAAACTAAACAAACTAAATGAGCTGGATTTAGGTTAGGTCAATAAGACATGATTCAAACTGCACGGAAGCTTTCAGGACCTGTCTGCACTTTGGGTAGATTTTTAGCTTCTCAATGTAACTAACACATATTTCCACTAGATTCACCAGGATAACCCCACTGAAGCACTTTTGGAGTAAAGTGATGTAAGTGACTAGCAGTGCACTGCTTTTATAGGTTGGGTCCTCCCTTTCTCCTTCCTTCCCACCTCCCTTGAAGAAGCTACATTTTTGTAATCTCTGGAGAAGAGTGTGAAGTACACCCCCCCCCCCCCCCCGGGTGTGGGATGGTAGGGGAGCAATGGTGAGCATGGGAAGAAATCTCCACCCAAACACAGCGGCTGGAATTGAGGCTGGTTTATCTTTGATCTTTAGTGATGAGAAACTGAATTTGGAAGGGGAGAAAAAAATTTGTCTGTGAAATAGTCCACCTGCAGATAATTTTTCAGGGAATCCCCTGAGTTATGAAAAGTTCGAGTTAAAAAAAAAAAAGAAAGAAAAAAAAAGAAAATCAACCTATTATAATTTTTTTTTTATGACTGAACTACTATAAATCCACAAGCAACGGTTCAGACACGGTGCTTCTGAAGTATTTCACCCCTCCCCGCCAGGCGCAAGCTGCATCAAGGGAGAGAGTGGACTCCCCAACCTCTGCTCAGGCATCAGGAGACAGAAGGGGCCGTTACTGCTGAGCGCCGGCGGCAGCTGGAACAGGCATCCCAAGGGGGTTGGCAGCAGCAATCACTGGTGAGCCCGCCAGAGGTCCAAGGGGTGAAGGGGTTGGCACTGAAGAAATCCCTGAAAGAAAACAGCTGACAGTGAGTTAGAAGCACCAACCACAGAACTCTTAAGTCACCGGTTTTTCAAAGCACCTATCTCAAAAGTGACACAATAAATACTCTTTATTGAATGCCTTGCCTTAATTTTTATAAATTAACTTCAAATTAAATCCTCACAAATTAAAAGTTAAGTTCCAATAAATTTAGAAGACAGAGAAGGAAATCTAAGTTTGGAGAGTTTGAGCAGTTTGTCCAAGGTGCACAGCTAAGTAGTAGGTATGCATGCCTGGATTCCAACCCAAGACTGTCTAAGGTAACACAGTCCAACCAAACCTTCTGCTCTGTAACGTGTACTAACATGACAGTCACTAGCCACATGTGACTACTGAGCATTTGCAATGTGTAACTAAACTAAGCAACTGATTTTACAATTGCATTTGACTTCAGTGAATTTAAATAGCCACATGTGGCTAGTCACTACAAACTGAACAGCAGAAGGCTAGAGTCAAAGTTCATGTGCTCATGGCCACTGTGCCTAGAGTCAGCTGGTGCAGAGAGGATCATTTCTCATCTCTAAATTAAAATAGTGTTTTAGGATTTATTTTCACTTACTTTCTTGATCATATTACCTGTTACATTGCCCTCAGTCAGCTAGTTCTTTAAATTTTCAAAATATTATATATATTTTCTGAATATGTAATATGGTTACATGACTCAAATAACTGCCAAGAGGATACAGTGAGAATTCTCCCTTATCCTATAACTTGGCCAACTTACAGTACTATTTTTGGGTGTATCCTTCCAGAAATATTTTATGGGTGTACTTGAATTTTATAAAACATGCATATAAGAATCACATATAATTGCAAAGAAAGAAAAAGAGACTCAGATGTATAGAACAGACTTGTGGACTCTGTGGGAGAAGGCGAGGGTGGGATGTTTCAAGAGAACAGCATCGAAACATGTATATCTAGGGTGAAACAGATCACCAGCCCAGGTTGGATGCATGAGACAAGTGCTCAGGCCTGGTGCACTGGGAAGACCCAGAGGGATGGGGTGGAGAGGGAGGTGGGAGGGGGGACCGGGATGGGGAATACATGTAAATCCATGGCTAATTCATTTCAATGTATGACAAAAACCACTGCAATGCTGTAAAGTAATTAGCCTCCAACTAATAAAAATAAATGGAAAAGAAAAAAAAAATCACATATAAGAACTTGATTCTATGTTCTTGCCCATTCCTAGTCTTGAGCATGGTTCTGCATCTTGCTTCTTTTCACCTCACATTATTACCTTTGAGTTGAAGCTACAAAAGAACACGAAACACTTGTTCTTTTCTCGGAGTATATAGTTCTCTGCTGAAAGGATGCCCCATAATTCATCTTACCAATTCCTTATTCTACAAGGAGCTGTTTTTAATGTTCTCTGATTTCAAATATGGCTAGAATGAGTAACCTTGGGTATGTATCATTTTGCACACTTGCATGATACCCAGAGGTTGAACTCTAGAAGGCAGCTAGTTCTTTAAAAAAAAATTGAGACAACAGCAATTTTTTTGAGGGTGTCGGAATAGGTGCTCACAAGAGTACCCATGTGGGTGCTGCCCATGTATATAATTCTTAGGGGACAGGCCTATGATTTCTTTGGGTAATTGTGGTTTCTTCTTGGTAAAAACTCACTCTAAATCATAATGACTCAACAACAATAAAAAGTAATTGCACACAAACCATTGTAATTTACTAGGCACCCTATAGCTGCTCTGGAAAAAAGAATCATTCTTATACACATATGTACCCATGTACAAACCCCATCTCTACTCTCCCTCATTTTCTTATGTGATGAGGACCACATCACCTACTGCCACTCTAACCTGTGAGATGAAAGGATCTCTTCATTCTTAATGGTTTGTTGAGACTGTCAAGTCCCAAACAATTTTTGTGATTCTGGCCTCAAAGAGACTATTGATACTCAAACTCAGCGATGCCCAACCTTTCTGGCACCAGGAACTGATTTCATGGAAGCTAATTTTTCCATGGACTGGGGTTGTGGGGAATGGTTTCCGGATGATTCAAACACATTACATTTATTGTGTGCTTTATTTCTAACCTAATGCCACTGCTGATCTGACAGGAGGTACTGTTCTGTGGCCCAGAGGTTGGGGGACACTTGCTCTAACTACTAAGGGATAACGGGTTTCAAAAGCATCCTGAAACCTGGTGGAGAGAGCCACACAAGTCAGTATGTTAATAAGGTAATCATTATAAAGGAGAGCTATAGAAATCAGGCCACAAAGAAGGAGCAAAATTAAGAATGACAATTGACTTCTATATATACATTTAACAAAAAAAAAGAAATTTACCAATGACACTAACCTGACATCATATTGGCGCTGCTGACAGGTGTACTGCCCCCTGGCATGCTAGATGAGCCCATTCGAGCCTGGTCCTTCACAACAGTGTCTAGAAAAAGAGACAAGAATGTTAGGTTCTGTTATGCTTGAAGAGCTGAACTAATGGTCTAGGGTCTTATAGCAGCCATCCTGATTCTTTACATTTTATTTAGACTCTGTATTATTCCCCTAAAAATAGAATTGAGGTGTCAACTACCTTCAATATGAAATCAACAAGTAATATAAAATAGAACTATTTTTGCTTAAAACTGTGAGAAAGACAAACTGTGAAAATGAAGTAATCATAGTAGAGATAATTAAAAAAAGAAAAGTATTTACTTTTGGACATGCTGTATGGCATGTGGGATCTTAGTTCCCCAACCAAGGATTGAACTTGTGCCCCCTGTGGTGGAAGCACAGTCTTAACCACTGGATTGACAGGGAAGTCCCAGTAGAGCTAATTTAAGACAAAAACAATCCTGTTACAGTTTAAGGAGACAATACAATCTACCCTACCTATCAGTATTATATTATGAGAATGAATGAGTTTTGCTGCAGTTGGTCAAGCATGGTGCCAAATGGGCCAAAACTACAGGTCTGATCAAGTTACTGCTATGACCACAGACTTCACTCTCCATCTCGATCAGCCTGTCAGTCAGCTTCAAGTACAGGAGACCGAGCAAGAATATAACTGATTCACTAAAACACCATTCTACCACTCCCCAAGGAACAATCTGACACTGAAGCTAACATCACAGTGAGGATGCAGTGGAGCTAGCTAAGTGGCATTTTCACTCAAGACAGCAGAGTTAGCTATATTTACAAACCTAGATCAAGGTGTTCATATAATTAGACTTTCAAGTTTCTCTGGCTCTCTCCAATGAATGATTAATAGGACAAACATAGGGCTGTATGTTCTAATCCAACCACTCCAAACTAGCCACGAGAACTGTCGCCCACACAATAAGAAAAGAAGTTTATTTAGGGATGATCATGTGTCAGGTATTCTGTTAGACAAGAATCCTCTCAACAATTCTGCAAGACAACTGCCATCACTATCTGCACTGAAGAGACCAAGGCTCACTGTGGGTGAAGTAACTTTGCAGCAAGCTAAGTAAGGGAGGCTGGGATTCCAATTGTGTTCTATGGGTCCGGAGCTTTCTTCACAGCATATATTCTCCCTTGCTCTGTAGAGTCTGCTGGGCAGGCCTGCAAGGGTCTGTGGACTGAACAGCTGGACTCACAGAAATAGGGGTGCTCCATGGCCTCTCTTGCAGTGAGCCGTGACTGGTGGTCGTATCGCAGCAGCTTGTCCAGGAAATCCAAGGCCTCAGGACTGACAAGGTGCTGGTTTTCACTGTGGACAAAGCGTTCCCATCGCTTACGGGAATGTCTGCAGAGCCAAAAGGGAGAATGAGAAATGGACCCAGAGGGAGAGAAGCCCAACATTTTAATCCTACATTTTCCTTAGTGGCTAGCATTCCAGCCAATCACAAAGAGAGGTCAAAACTCAAGAGCTAACTGGAGAGACTGGAAATGGCAGTGTTGCAGAAAAGAGAAATCTGGGTCCCCACAATTTTATGAAACATAATTCAGGTTATAGAAGGCTGGGCTGGTTGGCCTCCTCCCCACCCCCACCCATATTCCTGGCATCTCTACCACTTGGCCTCCAAAAGCCTTTGTAACAAGAAAGCCTACCTCTTCCTGTTAAGTGGTGAATGAATTAGTATTGGGTCTAGTCACTACTTTTAGAGTCTGTTGTCTGTAAACCAGTCTGAAACATGCACTTTCTACGATTATCTCTTTCTCTTAGAAGGGGCTTTGTCATCTACAGAAGCAAGATAAATCTAGATTTTGATTTCTGACTCATCTACAACCCTTCTATTAGACTCTACAAGGTCAGGGATCCTCTGCCTACAACCTCCACACTCAGACTCCTGTTAGTGAATCTGGGAAAATGGCCATTCAATCCAAAGCTTTCATCACAGGCTTGCCTGTGCAGCATCCATCCTGTAGCAGTGGACCACAGACACTTTGCAGGCAAACAGAACATTAACTATTTTGGGAATCCAAAGTATCATTTTACATCCAAAGTGCTTATGGCACAGATGCATTTTGTTTTATGACTTACCTGCCCAAGATATCGTTGAAACGTGGATCTAATTCAATGTTGTATTTGTCAATATAGTCATATAAATCTTCTGTCCCCAGAACCTTGGCTATCCTCACCAACTAGGATTAAAAGAAGACAAAACCCACACGAAAAGCACATTACATGATCAAATCAACAATTAACCATGATCGAGTTAACAGAATGGGACCATCATGGCTACAGGTATGAATGCTACACCTGAAGGAATTCACTTCAAATTTCCTTGCATAGCATGAGTGGATTTCCACACAACATTCACATTGTTGGATGTGAACATATCCCAACAATGTGAACACATCAAAAAGAAAAAACAAACTATTTTAGAACCTGGTTCCTTCCCTCTGGTGAAGTCTCATCTTATATTCCTGAAACTTGCATGGCACCTAACAAGAAGATGCTGATTTTAACTGAATTCACCTGATATTCTTCAACTTAGTCATCTTCATATGAATTGTAATATGTAAGTCATAGGCAAGTATGACTTCATAAAGTCATGTTTATATAACATTCTTGGAATGATAAAATTGCAGAAATGGAGATTACAACATAGTAGTGTGAAGGCCGGGGGGAAGCTGGTGTGACTACAAAAGGGCAAATAAAGAATTCCTGAGGTGACAGGGATGTTCTGGTATTCTGGCTGTATTAACATCCTGGTTGTGATCCTGTACATAGTCGGCAAAAAGTTCTATTTGGGGGAAACTGGGTAAAAGATACACTATATCTCTCTGTATTAATTATGGCAACTTCACGTGAATTTGCTTCCCTGGTGACTCAGCTGGTAAAGAATCTGCCTGCAATGTGGAAGACCTGGGTTGGGAAGATTCCCTGGAGAAGGGAAAGGCTACCTGCTCCAGTATTCTGGCCTGGAGAATTCTATGGACTGTATAGTCCAGGCAGTCGCAAAGAGTTGGATACAAGTGAGTGACTTTCACTTTCACATCGATTTACATTATCTCAAATTAAATCACTGTGCTCAAACAAGGCAACAGTACCTCCCACAAGGCCCTGGAATCATTAAGTGAACAAGCCATTAACTGAAAATTATTCTGGAGTTTTACACTCAGAGATTCTAATTTATGAATAGCTCTCAGGTAGGGGTTAGGCATTTGTATTTTAGTAAGATTCATTGCAACTTCCAAGGAGTAAGCAGATCTGACCATTGTGAGGGTACATCAATAAATTTCCCAACAGGAACAACATATATTACCTGATCATAATTGTCATGTCCATGGAAAAATGGCTCCTTCCGGAAGATCATACTTGCCAGCATACAACCCAAGCTCCACATATCCAAACTATAATCGTACATCTGCATTAAAGAAAGTGTTGTCATGACACATGAAATGACAAGATGAATCTTGTCACTTCAAATAAAAAGCTCTTTTTTAAAAATAGAAAAACAAATCTCACTCCATTGACTTTAAGGTCCAAATATCAGTATCTTTATATATTTCTTTTTAGTCTTTTCTTCTATGCATTTCCATTTATACTCCCTAACCCTCTCCTTTGAAACCTGTACCTACTATTTTGAATTACTTTCTTCACTTACATAAGAATACCCAATTGTTAGCTTATGGAAACCTTTTAATGTGTACCATTATTTTATAGCATGACTGTTTCAGAATTTAATCTTTAGTGTACCCTATAGTAGAATAGTGTTTTTCACCATTATAAATAATGCTGCAAAAAATATTTTTATGTATAAAATGTTCTTTGAATTCAGGGCTATACCAGAAATTTCTAGGACAGAGCCTTAACTTCTTTCAATTCTAAAAGAAGCTCTGGAATTTCTGATTACAAGTGTCTTTCTTTTCAGTTAGGATCAAATGCAGATATATATTCTACTGACACTGTGACAATACACACAAAAGTTGTGGTAGATGAACTGAAGAGATTCATATTTTACACTCCTATAAAAGGGACAGTCATGGATGTGTAAAAATGGCCTATTAAAAATGCAAAAGAACATTTTAAAAAAATCACGTGCAAAACAAACATAGGACAAAAATTTTATCTGCCCTTCTCTTCTCACCTGATAGTCTACAAGTAGCTCAGGACCTTTGAAATATCGGGAAGCAACTCGGACATTATATTCTTGGCCAGGATGGTAAAACTCAGCCAAACCCCAGTCTATTAGCCGTAGCTGAAGGGAAAAAAAAGATAATAAATAAGTGTGTCTTTTAAGATAGGCCCCACAATGCCATCACCTTTTTTTTTTTTTGGGCCACATTGTGTGGCCTGTGGGATTTTTTAGTTCCCCGACCAGGGATTGAACCTGGGCCCTTGGCAGTTAAGAATTCCCAAAACTACTCTTTTTAACATAAATTATTTTCTGTTTCTGCAAATTTCAACTACTCCTCTGACTAAAATGTCTCTACTATTCAACCTAGACTCCTATTCTGGTAAACATCTCTTCTGAGGTAACTCCTTCAGTGAAATCTTTTCTAACTATGTAAATAGAAGCAACTACTGTCTTTGAATTGCCTCCCCCACCAACCTCAGATAAATTTAATAGAACCTACAACTCTTTACTGAATATTTGCTTTCTACTTTTTAAAAAAATATGGACTGTAAGATCCTTGAGGGTAGGGACTGTTTTATTCACCTTTGCTAATTTTTAGGATTCAACATAATGCTCAGGACACAGGAGAAAAATAAAAATACAACTCTTACCAAAATAGTATTGGGTTGGTCAAAAAGTTCCTTTGGTTTTTAAGTAAAAATAAAAGACACATTTTTCATTTTTCACCAAGATCTTTATTGAACAACGTATTACCGTTTTGTTCTACTACATCCTGCCATTTTCCAGGCAATTTCACAATTCCATTTTCCCAACACTTTCTTTCTGAGTAAAGAACTGTTCCAGGTGCCTTTACAGTCTTACAGGAAACTGAAGTTTTTTCCACTAAGATAATTTCATAAAGACCAAAATAAACAGACATCTGAAGGTACAATGTCTGGTGAATATGGCAGATGAATCAGAACTTCCCAGCCAAGGTGCTAAACAGTTTTTGCCTCGCCATCAAAGAAACATGCGGTCTTGTGTCATCCTGGTGGAGGATTATGCATTTTCTGTTGACCAATTCTGGAGCGCTGCTTTCAGTTGGTCCAACTGGGAGCTGCACTTGTTGGGATTAATCGTTTAGTTTTCCAGAAGGAATTCATTATAGAGGACTCTCTTTCAACCCCACCACATATACAACATCACCTGCTTTGGATGAAGATCGGCTTTTGGTGTGGTTGATGGGTGGTTCATTTTGCTTGTCCCAAGATCTCTTCCATTCCACATTACCGTACAGTATCCACTTTCATCATCCGTCACAATTTGTTTTAAAAATGAACAATTTTGTTATGTTTAAGTATAGAGAATCACATGCGGAAATACGGTCAAGAAGGGTTTTTTACACTTAACTTATGTGGAACCCAAACATCAAAGTGGTTAACATAACCAAGCTGGTGCAAAGGATTTTCAACGCTTGATCTGGATATTTTGAGTATGTTGACTATCTCTTGCGTGGTATATAACATTGATTTTTTTCAATCAATGTCTCGATTTGATCGCTATCAACTTCAATTGGTCTACCTGACCAAACAGCATCATCCAGCGGGAAGTCTCCAATACAAAAGTTTGCAAACCACTTCTGACACAATCAGTCACAGTACCTTCTCCACACACTGCATAAATCTTTTTTTGCATTTCAGTTGCGTTTTCACCTCTCTTGAAACAATAAAACATAATATGCTGAAAATGTTGCTTTTTTTCTTCCATCTTCAACATTAAAATGGCTTCACAAAAATTCACTAATTTGGTTAAGTTTTTTAAAAAATGCACACTGATAACAATATAATCCAACAAAATTATTTCTAATGAAGTTAAAGACAACTAAGTGCTACTAGAGTCATCGTATAGAGAAATAAACAAACTTTTTGGCCACCCCAATAGTAGCAAGGACAAGAGGCAACCTTATTTGACCTTCATGCAAGGCATGACCATAACTTGTGTGAGCAGAAGGGCCTGAGTAATGCCTGACTGCTCCAGCACTGTCTCCAAAACTTCAGTTAATTAGGTTCAGTGTATTCTTTTAGAAAACAAAGGGAAATATAACAAAAAATATGAAAATGTAGCTTTTTAATAGTCTTTCTCTTCAACATCTTAGTATCAGTGCTCCAGAGTTATTCCTGAATTTCCGGTCTTATCAGTTAAGTATTCCCAGATGACTATTTCTGGTCTTGTGGCTTCACACACAGCATCTCTGCTATTCCCACTTATATTTAGCCCACACCTCTCACCAGCCATCTCTCTCTGATCACCTGAAAGACATCTCAGAACTAAAACCGATTATTCACTGCAAAACTTGTTTTTCCCATGGAATCCTCCTCCTCCTCTGTTACCTTAAATGTAATTCCATTTATCCTGTCATTCAGGTTAAAAACTTTTCACCCTGGACTCTTCTCTCCCTCTATCCCGCATCTAATCTGTCAGCATATCCTGATGGTTCTATCAGATTCTGACCCTATTATCACATCCACTGCCACCGCCCTGGTCCATGCTATCACCAATCTCTGATTTACTGCAATAGCTGCTTTTCTTAACTGGTCTACCTTTCACTTTTACCCTTGATTCTCCACACAGGAACCAAAATGATCCTCTTAAAAAATATTTTAAGATGGTTATAAATTCATAGGAATCTGGAGATGTTCTGTGTACCCTTCACCCAGTTTCCCCTGATGGTAATATCTTACGTCACTACAGTACAATATTAAAGCCAGGAAACTGACACAATTCAGAGACCTTTCTTTTCAACAGTTTTATATGTGTGTATAGTTCTACACAATTTTATCACATACGCAGATTCATACAGCTAGATTAATATCTAGTCCATGATTAGATAAAGAGCATCACAACAGTTATCCTTTATGCTACTCCTTCCTCTGACTTTCTAAGCCCTGGCAACCCTTCTGTGCTCTAACTCTGTCATTTTGAGAATTACAGAAATGGAACCATCAGTTTAAGTTTTTGAGACTGCTTTTTTCACTCAGCATGAGACTTACCCAAGTTGTTGCATCATCAATAGTTCTTACTAATCAGTAATGATACTACAATGATACCATCAGATACATCAGAGTTTAAAGAATCATTTACCCAACTGAAAGTTTCTGTATGGATCTCAGTCTGTTTCTCTGGGATAAATGTCACTGCTGGGTTGTTTGGTAAGCGTATGGTTAGTTTTTAAAGAAACTGACAAACTATAAAACAATATAGACTGACATTCTCCAAAATGAGTGTGCCACCTAACATTCTTACCAGCAATGTATGAGAGATTGAGTTACTCCGCATTCCTGTCTACATTTGGAATTTTTCTTTAAAAATTTTAGCTGTACTAATAGATGTGTAGTAAACTTTTAAATACAGAAGGGAGAACTTATCAACTCTCTGCTCAAACTCTGCAAAAACCTCTATATCTTCAGAGAAAAGGCCTGACAGTGATCTTCAAGGTTTTACAAGATACGGTTCTATTTATCTCTCGATCTCATTTCCTTCTTCTCTTCCTCGTGTTCATTCTATCCTAGCTCTACCCTTGTGCTGTTTCAATATGCCAGGCACATTCTTGTCTCAGGGTTTTTGCATCTTATACTTTCTTCTCAAAACCACACAGCTAATTCAAGTGTTCTACAAAATGTCACCTTCCTAACGAAATCTTTCCCTTGTCACCCTGTTAAAAATTGCAACACCCTCTGACACTCCCCACTCCTGTTTTATTTTTCTTCCATACCACTTTAAACTCTGTATCCCACCAGTCTCCCTCAAGTGCAAGCTTCTATGGACAAGAATTTTTTGTTTTATACATACACCCCAGCCTCTAGAATAGTCCCCATTACACATAGTGTATAAATGTGTAACAGGATATTAACTGAATGAACAAATCACCTATATCTCCAAAGCCTGCAACAGAAAGCCATCACTGCATACAAAAGGTGGGCCTGGGTCACCTTAAAAAACAGAAATGTTATACTGCAACTAATACTCATGACACCTGCAGCAGCAGTTTCTGAATATTTCATACATTTTACAACTGTACACACTTAATCCTCATAATAACCTAGTGGCATGTACAACAAATATTATTACTTGTATACTCCCTATAAGAAAAAAAAGAGGCAGATGAGAAAAAGCATTTCCCAAGAGAGTAGTTTTTCAATAAATAAGACTAAAACCCAAACTAATGTTTTACCCACAGCACTAATCTCTTTTATTTTTGAAAGGAATATGAATGAAGTTTTAAACATTGTGATTTTTAAAAAATTTGTTTTATTCTAGTTGATTTACAATGTTGTGTTAATTTCTGCTATACAGAAAAGTGATTCAGTTATACATATATATACATTCTTTTCCATATTTTTCTCCATATGGTTTATCACAGGATATTGAATATAGCTCCCTGTGCTATAAAATAGGACCCTGTTGTTCATCCATTCTATGTATGTTTTGCATCTGCTAATTCCATATTCCCAGCCCTCCCCTCCCCCACCCACCTTCACTTTGGTATCCAGTCTGTGAGTCTGTTTCACAGGTAAGTTCATTTGTGCCATATTTCAGATTCCACACTGATTTGTTCACTCATTCATTTGTCAAACATTTATCAAGTGCCTAATAGGTACCACAGACTATGAAAGATGCTAGGGATAAAATGCTGAAAGACGGGCTGTTAACTCTCTTGTGCTGATAAATAAGACTTGCCCTTCTATCACTTTACCTTTCTGTGCTCATGATCAATCATGACATTATGGGGCTTGACATCTCTGTGCATAATCCCCATGCTGTGGCAGTAATCCAGAGCCTGTGGGAGGAACACGTAAAAAAGGGAAGAGTTAGTTTGTATAAGACATTTTTTTAGTTGAAGTCTTTTACTTTCTCTTCCAGTTTTCCTTCAAGCCTCCAACACTCCTGAGAGTCAAGGTTAGGACAATCACTTCCACAGGTATTTTTCAGAGACTTGTGCAAACCCACGGACTCTAAATTCCCAAGACCTGTTCCTGCAGAGGTATTTCAACATCTTTTTTGTTAAAAACTCAAAGTGTATACCAACTACTTCACTTCTAATTTCTCCCTCTTACCGAGAGCCTGCATTATTTTCACCAACATGAGCCCCTCAAAGGAAGAAACCTGACCTGTACTACAAACCTCCTATTCAAAGAATAGTAAATCTCTAGCAGCTAAGAGTCTACAACAGAGGTTGGCAAACCACGATGCTCCCATGGGCCAAATAGGACCTGTGGTTTGTTTTTGTGAATGTTTTACTGGCATGTTTTTATAAATTGTTTTATTGTTTTTAATAGCCACAACTATTTGCTTGCATGTTGCCTGTGGCTGCTTTCATGCTACAACAGCAGAGCTGAGTAGTGTGACCAAGACCCTCTGACCCACAAAGCCCAAAATTTTTAAAGCATTTGGCCGTGTAAAGAAGTTTGCAAACTCCTGATTTATGACATCAAATCCAATTTGAAAACCAAGTCCAACTTCAAACTAGTGAGAGGCATAACTTCTGGAGTTTGCTAATCCAGGCCTTCAAGCCAGCTGAAGCCACTGGCCAAATTTTTGTCCTTTCTGAAGGGCAACTTGGGTTCCTATGATACCCAGGGTTAGGCAAGCACATCCTTAACTTTGTGAAGTCCTGCGTGCCACAAGACTGCATGAGCCAATGAAAGATAAAATACTTCTGTTGGCACAGTTTCTCTAGGGTACTTCTATAGTTCAAATGTAGACTTTATGTCAACCCTCATTTAGTAAGGCACTAGCCAACTCTTAGCAATTTTCTTACCTATAAAGCTGATCTTTTGAGTACTGGAAGCAATATATTTGGTGATCCTACTTTAGAAATCAAAGCTCATTCTAAATCAGCAACTTCTAAGCAGAGATTCACATAATCCTTAGGACAACGGCTCTTTGAGGGTTAAGTCAAAGTTTACTGTTTTATTTGCCCAATTTTAAGTGAAATAAAGTACATCAGAAGCCAGTACAACAGGAATTATTTTTGATAGAGATTACAAATGTTTGTTAAGGAGTCTTTTAACCTCTCTTCTAAATACCCTTTCCAAAGCATTATAAATTATATTCCTACTAGACCCTATCTTTCAATCATCGTTAAGAGTTCTGAAGCTATTAGTTTATTAAGTATTTATAGAAACAGACTTCCCCACCCCAACAAATTTTACAAAGTCAACCCACTGGCTTTTCTACAGTCATCTGGATTATTTAACAAAGGGGAGATCAATCCAAAGATATTTAGTATTCAAGAATCCCTTACCTTCAGAATCTCATACATGTAAAATCGAATATCATAGTCTGTTAACGTCTGGTACAATTGCTGTTAAAGACAAATGCAACATTTGAGCCATGAAATAGTACTGAAAAGAAGGCAACTTCTCATCCTCATTTGTAGTAATTCAAATCAAGGCTTGGCTCATGTACCACTGTTCTAAGACCTGTCTGTTTACCAGTCTCTACTTCTCCAGCAAAACACTAACTTTAAAGAGATACTGTGGGTTTTCAACTCTATATGTAAAAGTGAAGAACTACTTAAGCTCATATTGTTCAAACTATAATCTACTTTTGGAAGCATACCAATTGATATTTGCAACATGTGCTGATACACAATTTCGGATTAGTTTGTTTCTCATTTACCTCCAGATCCTCTCATAAAAGGAATGTGGGCAAATATATCACCTCCTTAGTAGGGAATTAACCCACCTTTGGCCTACACAGTCATAGCCACTGCAGATCACCAGTGGGTATGCAGATGGCTTGTTGCCAAACATATCAGGACAATTTAACAGAATATTTCTGCTCCAATTTGAAAGTAAACTTTTCTTTCTTGTTTTCCTCCTCTCAGCATAAGAATTCAATCATTTATTGACATCCAACATTTTTAATACTGGACTTGTGCAAATGCAAATCAAGTATTTCTGCAAGTTAAAATCCAAGGGAGTGCCCACATTCTTCTACTGTACTGGGATTGAGAACTGTTTGAATCTGGCTGGAGGTCAGAGAGTTTGTGTTTCAGGAGTTTGTGTTTTAGCAGAATTTACTACCACCCTTTCTTTCCCATCCATCTCTTTTTAAGATCAAGAGCCCAAAGTTTCTGAGGAATTCTAAGGTATAGCAAGCAGTCCTTGCTTTTATATATACAATATATTCCTTCTTGAACTTTGTCGTTTTTAAAGCAAAATGCTGTAGGGCCAGATCCTGATTAAACATGAGCTGTTGCTTTCATTAAGTTTGACATCAGTGGAAACTGTCAAATGAATGGTAAACTGTCAAATGGTGACAAACCTACGCACTGGTATTAAAGAGCATTAAACAAATAAAAGAGCAAAATACAAGATGTGGAGAGTGGGCACTATACAACAGTATGTCTATCTTTAAATTAATACTATCAGGATGATAGTATCTTCTAACAGTAACATCCCTAAAAGGTTTTTTATATGGCCTAAAACCCAGCTTGAAATGGTTGGTTATACATTATACCTTGAAGTCTGTGTTGTTTACGTGTTCAAAAACCAAGGCGGGAGTTCGTGACTAAGGGAAAGAAAAAGAAAACACACATTAGCAATAGACCTGGCAGCTTTAGTGGGCACAATGTTTGTGGACACTACGTGGTGCATTTGGCAGTCCTCGCCTCAGTAGTAGGAAACCCTCTATTGTTATAAGCCCTCCCCACTCTGATTATCACCACACTTAGGTCACTTTGGGGATGGATTTCAAACAGAAGACATGGAGCTGAAGTCTCACCAGGCTCTAGGCAGCCCGACAATGCGCCCATCGCCCATCGGCATCGGACCTGAGTTTGCAAAATGGATTAACACATTTCAGTTTCCAGTGCTATCAGTCTCTTAGCCTAGAAGAATAAGAAATAGTCTGTGGGTGGAGGTCTCTTTGAAAGAAAGACCCGAACTAGTCAAATGGTATAACTGATTAAGCACTTTTAAAGCAGGACTTAATGGCAGAGGGAAGAACAGAAAGAGGCCAGTTGTGCTCAAGGTCAAACACCACCTCAGCCCTTGTGGGCCTTACTAGTGCCTACTATACTCACCACAGGGTCTTTTACAATGTCTGCCAGTGTGATGATGTTGGGACCGCCTCGCAAATTCTCCAAAATCTTTATTTCACGCTTGATTTTCTTCTTCTTTACTGGCTGAAAGGGTAAAAGTACATCATTAAAAAAAAATTATTTCAGGGTATTTCAACAGGTAGTATAATACACAAATGGTTTGCTTATGAACTCCTTGAAGGAAGGAAATGTGTCAGACATATCTCTGAATTTCCCTCTCCTTGTCCTGTGCCAGGTACTCTGCAGCTACTTAGCAATACTGAACTGAAAGAAAATAAAGATTTCTACTCCAAACACCAGAACTCTGCAGAATTAGCATTTAATTCTGATGATCAGTCTTAATGTGTTAACATTAGAATGAAACATGGGGCTGTTTCCATTCCTTCCTCTAAGTCTTATTAACACCCTACAGAAATGAAGGAAATCAGGACCAGTAGCAAAGATGGCCAAACTATCTTTGTGCAGTATAACCTTTTGGGTTAAATGTGGGCCTGGGAGTCAGACTGCCTAATGTGAATCCTATTTTCATTACCTGCGAGCTGTGTGCTTATGAGCAAGTTATATAACCTCTCTAAACCTTTCACAGGTAAAACGATCAATAAGAATACTTATAAAATTATTGCAAGACTCAAATGAGACATCTAAAAAGAACTCAGAATATGGCTGAGACATAATATCTGTTAAGCCTTATAACCAACGTATCTTTCATATTCCTTTGTCTTCACCCATCATTTCCACATCTGTTTTAGTACAGAAATCGCTTTCATTTTTCTGAGAAGAGCTGTGGTCCAAATGCACCTCCTCTGCAAAGTCTTCTTTCTAAACAGTCTAAAACAGTCCTGGTCCAAAGAAATACAATGCAAGCCACATGTGTATTTTATTTTTTCAATTTATTTTGGCCATGCCACAAGACTTGCAGGATCTTAGTTTCCTGACCAGGGAATGAACTCTGAGGCCGTGGCAGTGAATGGACAAAGTCTGAACCACTGGACTGCCAGGGACTTCCTCACGTGTCTATTTAAAATATTCTAGTACCCACATTTTTTTTTTTGTTATGTTACACATAGTTTTATTCAACTGAGTCAAGCAGCCATTATATTGGAATAGAAATGCTGAAAAGGAAGACTGTTCAGAGGTGGTACTGCTGTCAGTTAGCACCCACATTTAATATTTTAGGGCTAACCAAGAAAAAATCCAAAATCTTATAATTTCAATATGTAAATCAACATAAAAATTACTAATGAACAATTTTATATTCTTTTTTTGGTACTAAGCCTTTAAAACTGCTGTATTTTATCCTTACAGCATATTTCAATTTGGATCAGCCGTATTTCAAATGTTCAGTGTGACCTGTGTCTGCCACAATGAACCATGTGAGTCTTTCCTATCAGTTTTGGTCACCTCAGACTACTGACACACAGTATACACTTCTTAGAAATTATTGTAAGCATATAACATCTCTTCTTTAACAAGACTACTGGTCACTAAACTTTGATGATCAACCTGAATTTTTTAATATACAAACTGTACAGACCCACTGAAATCAGAATCTTGAGAAGAAAGATGGAGATATATTTTTAGACATTTCACAGGTTGATGATTTAGGTCTAGGAACTACTGAACAATACTGCAGACTTTTTAAACCTTGAATCCTAAGCACATGGTACAGCAGAAAGCAGAAAGTTTTGGAAACAGACTGTCCTGAAAACCTGGCTTTGTAGCTGTGCAACTTTGGGAAAAACACTTAAGTGTTTCTGAACTTTACACCTGCCTTGCAGAACTGCTGATATAAAACCAAAGCTAGAAAAGGGCCCAACCCCAGTGGGGACTTCTCTGGTAGTTCAGTGGCAGAGAAGTCTCCTGTCAATGCAGGGGACACAGGTTCAATCCCTTGCCTGGGGAGATTCCACATGCTGCAGAGCTACTGAGCATGCATGCCACAACTCCTGAAGTCTCTGTGCCCTAGAGCCCGTGCTCTGCAACAAGATAAGCCACTGCACACACAACTAGAGAGTAACTCCCGGTTGCCATAATTAGACAAAGTCCATACACACCAATGAGGACCTCGGGTGAACAAAAAATAAAGTCCAATGCAAAGTAGGCATTCAATAAATGAAAGCTATTTGATTATACTAATAAAAGCTATTTGATTATACTAACAGTGAATTCCATTTTTAATTCAATCCATGGCCTCAGCCTTGCTTCTATTAGAATTCAGTACACTGGGTGGGAAACTTAGCTAATCATAAGTTTTCTTTTTGCTTCAACTATATCTTTCTCATCTGCTAGAGTATCTAGGAGATGTTTCTCCTCTCTAGGCAAGTCAAACTGTTAGTTGCTCAGTTGTATCTGACTCTTTGCAACCCCATAGAATGTAGCCTGCTAGGCTCCTCTGTCCATGGAATTTTCCAGGCAAGAAAACTAGAGTGGGTTGCCATTCCCTTCTCCAGGGGATCTTCCTGATTCAGGGATTGAATCTGGGTCTCCTGCATTGCGGCAGAAGGCAATGGCACCCCACTCCTGTACTCTTGCCTGGAAAATCCCATGGACGGAGGAGCCTGGTGGGCTGCAGCCCGTGGGGTCGCTAAGAGTCAGGCACAACTGAGCGACATCACTTTCACTTTTCACTTTCATGCATTGGAGCAGTAAATGGCAACCTCCTCCAGTGTTCTTGCCTGGAGAATCCCAGGGATGGGGGGGCCTGGTGGGCTGCCGTCTCTGGGGTCGCGTAGAGTCAGACACGACTGAAGCGACTTGGCAGCAGCTCCTGCATTGCAGGCAGAATGTACATCATCTGAGCCACCTGGGAATCCCTTTTCTCCAGAAACTAATCCGGTAATCTCTCTTCTGTTTTCTACTAATTAGACCAGGCGGGTCACTTAAACCCTAATTTAATGTGATCAATGCAAATTTTGTCTTAATAAATGGGAGGAGATTAAAAAAAAAACTTTCCAAACCACCCATCACTAAAGACCATCAATGGCTCCCAACAACCTAGAAGAAACAAAAATTGTAATTTTTTGGCTGGAAGGAAATGCAGAGGTTATTTTTTCCAGGTCATCACTAATTTATTCTCCTTTCTAAGTTTACTTCCTATGTATGGTCACATGATAGCTTCCATATGAAACATTTCTCTCACTTATTTCTTTCTCTTTTCTTATCTTGTGCATTCTAGATTATGCTTCCCTCCCACCCTCCCATGCACACCAATCCAAATCCTCCTCACTCAGGCCCTGAAAACAGTTTCAGGGACCTTTCCCCAAGCACCACCACTGTCTTCTACACTGTAAGACTCACTACTTGTGCCTTTCATATGACTCTAAATGATCTATCACCTCAGTCTATCATATACTTTTCTGTAGGAATATCCTTTTATAATTACATAGAACTTCGGTCTCCAAAGTGTATATCTATATACAATTTTGTGTTTGATCCTAATAACTCTGAAAAAGACAGGTAAAGCAAGACTATCTCATTTTCAAAGATAATCACGTCTTTAAAAAACAACTACCATGGCTAATTACTTTTAAAGTGGGATTAGAATCTAAAAGTCCAGATTTCAGCCTAGTTCTCTTCATACACACAATAAGATATAAATACTTAAACTCTCTGGTTCTTGAAAGGTATGCCAAAACACCCAGAAAATTCACAGGTGCTCTGTGGGCTTTTTAATTTTTGAGGGAAGCACCAGTTAATCCTTGTGGTCCGCCAGTCACGACCAGCTTGAGGTAGTTTCATAGTTTCAATATTACACTGCACTACATTATCTTTGATGGCATATTTTTGTGAAGCTGGGTTTTCAGCAGCTGCTATGACAAAAAGCAAGTATCATGCAAAAATCAGTGTGGAACAGGAAATGAGGCTACCGATGTCCAGTGTGATTCTGACATATGAGAAGCTGTGTAGCGACTAATAAGTATACATATCCCAATAGTAATTAATTATGGTGACAGAAGAATAAAACATTACTTTTCTCTTTAACTTCACATGTATAATTTTTTAAAAGGCTACCAAGTTGAAACATAAATACTATTTTTAGTTATTTCTACTTCACTTAATAAAACTATTTCATTTGGCTTAGGGGCACCATCAAAGTTAATGAGGCAATATGGGTGCTATAAATTGAGAAAGTCTGGGGTCCTCTGCTTCTCGTGTCAAATATAGAAAAGTTTCTGTGGTAAGGAACTATATGCTAAGTTCCTGGTATGTGACAGTGCACAGTACAGTTATAACTAAAACAATCTGTACAACAGTAGCCCATGGGCCAATGTGGCCTATACAGTGTTCTATACAACTTGAGTCAAAAAACTGCTCTTGCTTCAGTTTCCTGATTTGTCAAATGAAGACAATCTCTTCTATCAACTTCAAAGGAACAATAAAATAAAGGCATTAAAAGCACTAGAAAAACACCTTCAAATGCTACTTAAAACCTCTGAATTACAATCTTTTTGTACTTACCTTGAGGATTTTAACAACAACTTTTTCATTATTTGTGATGTTGATGGCTTCAAATACTTCACTGTATTTACCCCGACCTAATTTTCTAACCAGCTGGTAGTCATCTTGATTTCTGGGAACAAAAAGAATCAAAGTGTTTTACAAAGTTCAAATTATCAAGGACTAATTCAATTTACAGAACTGTCAAGTGTCAGTCGCTCAGCTGAGTACAACTCTTTGCAACCCCATGGATTACAGCCCACCAGACTCCTTTCCATGGGGTTTCCCACCAAGAAGAATACTGAAGTGGATCGCCCTTCCCTTCTCCACCCAGGGATCAAACCCCAGCCTCCTGCAGTGTGGGCAGATTCCTTATCATCTGAGCCACCAGGGAAGTCCATACAAAACTACACCCAGTAGAGTAAAAGAAATAAAAGGTAGTTCAAATCATTCCTTAATTGGTTTCTTTGTATTTTTTTTAAAGCTGGCCAATTAAAAATGTATCTTCCAAATCCCAGAATTAAAAAATTCAAGTCTTTGAGTTATTCTTTCAAATCCCAAGCTGTTTATATTTCTACTGACATACCACACATAGCTAGCTTGTACTGGGGTTTGTTATGTATGTTTATCTCCAACAATAGATAGCTTTCCCTTGGAAAATAATTTTTATTATATTTCTGTCCCCCATAGCCTTGCCCACTGTTGGCATCTAGCAAGAAGTCAATACGTGCTGTAAGAATATTTCAATTCAGCCACACTTCGGGAGTTGCTGATTTCTAATGGGTCTCTGCAGATAACTGACTTTCAAACACATAGGTTTGACTTTCAACTTGTTCTCCAAGGCTCTGAGGACAGTCCATGTACTGGAGTGCAAACCACACTACAGAACATGAAATCAGTTTGGTGTTCTTCCCGCTACTTTCACCCACATTCCAAGACCACTAAGCAACATCTGAGGTGAAAAGGAATAAGGGAAAATGCCAACACTTTCTTTACCTCTGCTTACAACTTAGAGGAGTTTGCTCTTAAGAATGACAGCCTTTTCAATAAGGCCTAAATGCTATTCACTCCTGCTGGGGACCCTTGAAAATCCAACATGTAAAAAATCCACCATTCATTTTCCTCAAGCAGCTATAAAGAAAGTAAATGAACAAAGAAGGCAAAAGGTACTAAGGACAATGGACAATGTAATAATCAGTGCAGGCCTAGGGAAGGAAGCTCTTAGTTCTGGTTGAGTTCTTTTCCTGTGGGAGGGCCTAGAAGACAAATGCAAGCAAGCAAACAGCACTAAGCCAAAAAACTCAAAAGGGTTGTTTAGTGTCATTTAAGCAGAACTAAGCATAATGGACTTAATTTGAAGACAGTGGTTGAAATTTCTGCAGTAAAACTCAGATATTCCTAGAGTCCAAAGCATGTGATGTAGAGGAAAACTATTATCAGTAACACTTACTGGCACTGTACCACAGTTCTTGATGGCATCTTTGAAGCACACTGAGCTTCCTTGTGCAGAGGCAATATACTTACTGTTAAGAATTACGGCCATCAACATATTAATCATCAGGATTAAAACACACCCTATGATAATTTTTGAAGACTGCCTATAAACACTTACATGCTATGAAAATCACATATGGACAAATATAAAATGTAACATATAGGAGCTGCAGCTTTACTGAGTTTTCAAATTGCTACCTTTTGTATCTGAGTATCAAAATAATTTTATCACAAAATGTACAACCCGATCAATTATATAAGTACATACTATGCTGGGACAAGATATGCAAAAATCCAGAGGAGACTGCACAGAGGATTAGAAGGGCAAATATAGCTGTTCAGGCAGACTGCAACTGTTCAGAATGGAATTGGGGCTGAATTCCATGTTACACATGGCTGGTCTCATGATAAGGGCAAATGTTTTAAGGTTTTAATTTTGCTTCTCATCAGAAAGAGGACACCTTTCTGGAGAACTGTTTTATCCATCAGTATCATCATGGGACAACATCCTCTGACCTCAAAAATTCTTTTATATAAGAGTCTAGTGTTTTCAAACTCTCTCAAGTATTAATTCTCACCTAACTGCAAAGCCTTTAGCTGAGCAAGCTAATAGGTAACTCTTTGTTACCAGCTTTATATGTATCAGAGAAAAAAATAAGAGATTGAAATGATTTTTAAATGATAACCCAACAAAACTGTTAATTTGCCAAAGCCAATAACCTGTTTCTTTTCTGTAGAAGAAAACAAAAATTGGGTTCAATCTTGAGATTTATAAATGCAGTCAGGGAATTTCTGATGTAAATTACTCAACAAATCCACCACAGTCGGCCCTTTGGATGAGAACAGTGAAGTGAATGGAAATGATTACCCCCATTCCACCACATGTGACTCGTAATCCCAGTACTCTCGGGGTCTGTGTGTGTTCACATCTGTGTAAACTCTGGCTCTGCTTGGCACGGGTCCCGACATGTCAGACAGGTTGGCGGACAAAGCTGGACTTGCTATCTGGAGAACTGGCAGTCACTGTGTTGAGAGGCAGCTGGGGATAAGACCTTGTTTCAGACCTGTTTTCTTCAAACTGCAGAAACAAAACACATAAAGGCCAAGGAACCATTTTTAAAAAGCATATGGGAAGAAAAAAAGTTATCTTACAGTAATGGTCTCAAGTATACCTCAGGCTCTCTACTGGTTAACCAATGAATGTATCCCAACTGTGCCAATCAGTATTTCCTAAAACATGGGGAAAAAAGTAAAACAACAGAACTCCAAGAAACATATCTAAGCCTACACTGGCCCTGATCCTATCCTACAAAGTAGCCTGTTACCTCTTCATCAAAAGCTTGGATGCTCTTGCAGTCTGAAAGCGAAAAATGGCATTGAGGATACACCCATCAGCATTACTACTATTTACACATTCTATTTACACAAAAAGCTTTCTTTTCAACAGTTTTCTACAGCTCAAGGAGGGGTGATAAACAGCTCTAGAATGGTGGCAAAGTTGAGTACAAACCTTAGTCTTACTCTAATATTTGATGAAACCAGGAAGGGAATAAACACTTGTTCTCATACATCAAAGTTCAATGTTATCTTATTATTTGCGGAGCCTTATGTAATAATTGATAGGCACGTGATCACCAATTGAGAAATACACTTCATTAAAGAAAAAAAAACAAACAGTAATTTCCTCCTGATTTATTTAATATACGAGCAAGCGTAATACAAATTCGTAGAAGACAGTAATATACATTGGTTGAACTAACACAAAATTTTATACCCAGGAAAAGGCGGTGAAATTTCAGAAGTGTGCTTTCTACCAAACCAGTAAAAAATGAAGTCTCCTCCATCACCAACTACTCCAATCTAGTTATCTTCTTTCTCGAAGAGTCCTATAGCATTTCTTGATTCCCTTTACTCTGCATTTAATTACAAATGTATTGCGGGAACCTCCCTCTGTTTGTTTGATGGGACACTGTCCAATGCATAAATCTGAATAAACACAATCATATTTTTAAAAAATGTAATGAGTCTCCAGGCCATGCATATTTCAGCCTAGATTGTGTAACCTCAATCTAATTACAAGGAAAACACAAATAGAAAATGAGGAAGCTTCTATTTAAAAAAGTCAGCAGTGGGGAATAATATATTGTGCTCTCCAAAAATGTAAATATTATAAAAGATAAAGAAAGGCTAAAGAGACATGGCAACTATATACAATGTCCTACCCTAGACTAGACTGTATCCTGTAATAGAGGGGGAGAAATGCTATAAAAAACAATACTATCAGGTCAAATGACAAAACTGGAATTTAGACAGGTATGTACACAAGTACTTACACATGATAAAGCAAATGGGGTAACATGTCCTTTGTACTATTTTTATTTTGCGGAAACATTTTTAAAAACTATTGTAAAATATATATAAAATTTATCAACTTAAACATTTTTAAGCATACAGTTAAAAGGCATTAAGTACTTTCACATTCTTGTCCAATCATCACATCATCCATCCTCAGAAATTTTCACCGTGCCAAACTGAAGTTCCGTACCCATTAAACACCAACTCCCTCATCCCCGAGCGCCTAATAACCACCATTCTATTCTCTCAGTCCGACTACTCTAGGTAACTTATACAACTGGAATGGTAGAATACTTGTCCTTTTACATTTGGCTCATTTTTTCATTTAGTATGCCTTCAAGGTTCATCCATGTTGTAGCATATGCCAGAATTTCGTTCCTCTTTAAGGCTGAATATCTCCATTGTATGTATGTATTTTGTCTATCCAATCATTCATTAATAGACACGAGTTGTTTCTACCTTTAGGCTATTGTGAATAATGCTGCTAGAAAAAGTGATGCACAAATATCTTCCGGAGTTTCTGCTTTCAATTCTTCTGGGTGGAATTGTAGATCATATGGCAACGCTATGTTTAATTTTTTGAGGAACCAGCACACTCTTTTCCATAGTGGCGGCATCATTTTATATTCCCATCAGCAATGCACAAAGATTCCAACTTCTCCATGTAATGGTTTTTTAAAAAAACAGCAGTCATCTTAACAGGTATAAAGTGCTATCTCATTGTGATTTTTGACTGGTACTTTCCTAATGATTAGTGATACTGAGCACTTTTTCAGGTGTTTATCGGTCATTTATCTTCTTCAGAGATGACTATGCAAGTATTTTATTTAACTGTTTATTTGGGGGGGGGGGTTGAGATGCAGAAGTTCCTTATATATTTTGGATATATCAAATATCAGATATATTATTTGCATATATTTTCTCACATTATGTGGTTTGTCTTTAAAAAAAAAAAAAAAAATTTTATTTACTTATTTTTGGCCGTGATGGGTCTCGGTTGCTGTGGTCTTTTTCTCTAGTCGCAGTCCACGGGCTTCTCTGTGCAGTGGCTTCTCTTGTTGCTGAGCATCAGCTCTGGAGCACAGGCTCAGTAGTTGTGGCGCATGGGCTTATTCACCCCGTGGCAAGTGGGATCTTTCCAGACCAGGGATTGAAACCTGCAACTCCTGGGTTGCATGTGGGTTCTTTACCACTGAGCCATCAGAGTAGCCCTGTGGTTTGTCTTTTTAAGATGTTGATTGTATCCTTTGATGCACAAAACTTTCAAAATTTTGATGAAGTCTAACTTGTCTCTTTTGTCTTGTCTGTGCTTTTGATGTCCTATCTGTACTATCTTTATTTTGGTCTCATGTAAATTTGAAGTTACTTCCAAATAAAAAAGTTTTTAAAAAATGAGCATTAGAAAACTGAGGCTCATTTACCTCAGAGGAAAATTTACCTACAATCACACAGCTACTTAATAGCAGAATAAGGACCAGAAACCAAACTTCTGTTTCTTGTGATAGCAACTTATTTTTGCCATGTAATCATAAATTAGTTAGATAACAAAAGCTAATGTCTACAGGCATTCATGATGTGCTTTACGTGAATATTTCATAATCCTTACCACATAAGGAAATGGTAAGGAAAGGTTACTATTCTTTCCAATTTACAGGATGAGGAGAATGAAGTGAAGAAAGATTAAGTAACTTGCCAAAGGACACACAGTTAGAAGGAGCTGGCAACGTTCAACCAGACTACAAATCGAGAGATGATTGTATTCACCTCTTATGTTTGTGGTGAGGATCCAATAAGCTAATAAAATGTCTAGAACTCATATTTGAGAGCTCAATGAAACTCATTTACAGCAATCTGCATGTTCTCTCCAATTTGTCTCCTTATACCTAGTTTCAGTGGCTTAAAGCTTTAGAGGAAGAGCATGAGAGACCAGAGCAGGGGTTAACCATATACTCCAGAAGCGTGACAGACAGTGATACTCCCACTCCTCCCACAATGCACGAGACCAAAAGATCCATGTGTCTACTTATGGATTCTCCCATTCATGAAACCCAATATAACCACCACTGTTGACCTCTGGTGGCCTATAAGTATACAATTTATATGGCCAGAAAACAACAACATAGTTCAGATAGTTATTAAAAAGAGGACCGAAACTGCCTTTAAAATATTTCCAAATTATTTCTTTGGTTTTATAAAACAACTTGAGTGGTAATAACCCAATTTATCTTTATCTCATATCAGTTAATTATAAACAGACACACATACCCCAAACAAGCAAAAAACCAGAAAGCAGACACTTATTTTAAGTTTCCTTTTTCCCAAAGAAACAAGGTCATTTGTGCTTTAGGGCTGTTGGTCTCTCTGGTGACCATTATCCCTGCACTAAAAGCAGCAAAAGACACTAGGGAGATGAGTAAAGGTGTGTGTATGTGCACAAACAGCCCAAACAGTAGAGACAGCAGCATTAAGCCAGAAGAAATACTGTCCCAGGAATTTATAAATTATAATGATACCAGATACTTTTAAATTCTTACCTTCTTCTCTGCAGCAGTATTTCCCTCTTCAGTCTCTATATTCCTTTAAAATTTACTCTTTCTGTTGATATTCTATACCTATAAGACGACCTTTAACTGTGGGTCTCAAAGCTCTTCCCCTATGAACTTAACAACTTTACAAAATCAGCATAAATTTAATAACTGGGGTTAGATGCAACAGGGTGATGAAACAAGCAGTCAAGTCCTGAGTTCAAATCCCTAATTGGCTGCAGGACCTCTACTGGGCTTCTTCCAGCTTTGATTCATCACTTACAAAACTTGCCTAATTGCACTTGCTCAAGTGAGATGTTCTTCCAAAAAGGGCTCAGAAACACCAAATACAATGTAAATTAACACTGAATGATTACTGTACCATTGCTCCTTTGTGAAAACTAATAAGCAGAAGCCTAGCCTTAAAAGGCTGTGGTCTTCAGTTTTAGTTTTCTTCACTTCATTTACAAAAATTATAGGAGCTGAGGTTAACTCCCAGCCTCTGAGGGCCAACTTATGGGTGGACACGCCATTACAAAATGAGACCTCATTTCTCCATGGAAATCATCTGACTCACATGGAAAATATTCCCCAACTCCTTTAACAGACCAAGTATCAATCACACACTTACCAGCAAGTCCTCAGCTCTCATACGGCCTTGGTATTCTCTGAGGAGAGCAGAGCAAGCCTACTCACTAATGAAACCCCTGAAATCTTCAAATACCTGTTTAACTGACATTTGCAGCTTTGTGCCTCATCAACAGGGACCTGATTTATTATGAACAGGGGAATTTGATCCTCCACGGGGAGGACAACTGGTTGTTTTGCAGCAACCCAAAGCAGTACTTCACTTTATTGTCATGCATACCAAGTGATCTGCTTAGAATAAGAGTCATTCACATGAATTTCAAATAGCTGGCCTTCATTAATTATGCGGGGAGAAGAAAATGGGTGTGTGTGCATGTGTATATTCATGAACTACATAGCCCAGCAACTTCAGGTTAAGTAAAATGGTACAAGGAGGGGTGAGGGAGGGTGATGGAATGGAGTAAGAGGGGACGTGAAGATGGAAAAAAGAAGATAAACATTATTCTACTCAGAAATACTACTTCACTTGCACCTCTGTAAATGTGTATGGATATTCACACGCTCTATACAGTCAGCAAAACAAGACCAGGTGCTGACGGTGGCTCACATC